GTCAATCAAAAAGTGGGCAAAAGACCTAAATAGATACTTTTCAAAGGTGGACATACGGAAGGCCAAGAGACATATGAAAACATGCTCAAAGTCACTAATCATCCGAGAGATGCAAATCAAAATGACAATGAGGTACCATCTCACACCTGTCAGAATGGCTATCATCAACAATTCAACAAATGACAAGTGCTGGTGGGAATGCAGACTGGTGCAGCCACTGTGGAGAACAGTATGGAGTTTCTATAAAAAGTTAAAAATGGAACTCCCATTTGACTGAGTAATCCCACTTCTAGGAATATATCCCTAGAAATCAGAAAGGCTTTATGCACCCCTATGTTCATAGCAGCACAATTTATAATAGCTAAAATTTGGAAACAGCTTAAGTGCCCATCAGCAGATGAGTGGATGAAAAAACTTTGGTACACCCCTAACCAGTTTGGCTCAGTAGATAGAGTGTCGGCCTGCGGACTAAAGGTTCCCAGGTTCAATTCTGGTTGAGGGGACATGCCCAGGTTGCGGGCTCAGTCCCTAGTGGGGGGCGTGCAGGATGCAGCTGATAAATGATTCTCTCTCATCACTGATGTTTCTCTCTCTCTCCCTCTCCCTTTCTCTCTGAAATCAATAAAAATATATTAAAAAAAAAAAGAAAGAATGCTTACCATTCGCTACAGCATGGATGGATGTGGAGAGCTTGTGAAATAAGCCAGTAGGAGAAAGATAAATATTGTATGTTCTCACTCATTTGTGGAATATAATGAACAACAAAACGGATGAACAAAAATAGATCCAGAGACAGAGAAGCATCGAACAGACCATCAAACCTCAGAGGAGCCCTAACCGGTTTTGGCTCAGTGGATAGAGCATTGGCCTACGAACTGAAGGGTCCCAGGTTCGATTCCGGTCAAGGGCATGTACCTTGGTTGCGGGCACATCCCTGGGGTGGGGTGCGGGGGTGGGCAGGAGTCAGCTGATCAATGTATCTCTCTCATTGAAGTTTCTAACTCTCTATCCCTCTCCCTTCCTCTCTGTAAAAATCAATAAAATATAGTTTAAAAAAACACACAAAAATACCTCAGATAGAAGGCAGAGGTGAATGGGGAGAGGGTATTCAACCAAAGGACTTGCATGCATGCATATAAGCATAACCAATGGACACAGACAGTAGAGGGGTGTGGACATGTGCTGGGCAGTGGGAGAAGCCAGGAAAAGGTCAATGGGGGAAAAGGGAGACACATAATACTTTAAACAATAAAGAATTTAAATTTTTTAAAAAAGAAAGGCACTTGTTTTTAACAAGAGATTTTCAACTCTCAGGGAAAAAGAAATCGGGACTCAAGTAGAAAAGCAACTTTTGTATTTTTTAAAAATATATTTTTATTGATTTTAGAGAGGAAGGGAGAGAGATAAAAACATCAATGATGAGAGAGAATCACTGATTGGTTGCCTCCTGCACGCCCCCTACTGGGGATCGAGCCTGCAAACCCGGGCATGTGCCCTTGACCAGAATCGAACTTGGGACCCTTCAGTCTGCAGGCTGATGCTATACCCACTGAGCCGAACCGGCTAGGGCTTACTTTGTGTTTTTTAATGGCTTAATTAAAGAAAACACTAATGAATTCTTTTCAAATATCCAAACATGAGAAAAACTTTTATTCAAGAAATGCAAACAGGAATTTAAATAATAAGCTTTCAAAATTTTTCCTTGCCTATAGTAAACTCTCAATAATTACTACTGTCATTACAAATCAAAAAGAAAACAATGGTGTATTCAAGAAACAGTGCTCAGTCCCTGGCAGATGTGGTTCAGTTGGCTGGGTGTGGTCTTGTGCACTGAAGGGTTGCTGGTTCGATTCCAGTGCTGGGGGCATGCAGGAGGCAGCTGATTGGTGTTCTGCTCTCACACTGATGTTTCTCCCTCTCTCCCCCTTCCTCTCCTCCTCTTGCAAAAAAAATTGTTTTTAAGAAAAAAGAAAATAGTGCTCTAGTTAGCTACCTGTAAAATATTTTTTTACTATATCATATATAATTCAAAAACAAATTTGGGGTGAGTTAAAGAAACAAATGAGAACTGTACCTTAATATAAATGTTCTTTAATCTAGCATTTTAAGATAGGAAAGAAAGATAATGAAGGAAAAATAAAAATTTTAAAGAGGGAATGAAAGAAATGAAAGAAACCTAAGAGGTTTGGAAACAGCCTAAGTACCCATCAGCAGAGGAGAGCTAGGAAGAAAAGGGAAGAGGCAGAAAGGAAGGAAAAATTCACCTGTTCCCAATATGGCACTGGCCACATGTGTCCATTTAACATTTTTTTGCCCTTTTCAATGTTCATCCTTTTATTCATTTGGATTTATTTTACTACTTAACTAGAGGACAGGTGCATGAAAATTTGTGCACTCAGGGGCGGGGGTGTCCCTCAGCCCGGCCTGCACCCTCTCATAGTCCTGCACCCTCTCATCTCCCCAGGGGATTGGGCCTATGCTGGCAGTCAGACATCCCTCTGGCAGCCCAGTAGCCCTTGGGGAATGTCCGACTAAGCCATTAGCCGGTCATCCTTAGCGCTGCTGTGGAGGTGGGAGAGGCTCCCGCCACTGCTGTTGTATTGGCCAGCCATGAGCCAGCTTCTGGCTGAGTGGTGCTTCCCCTGTGGAAGTACACTGACCACCAGGGGGCAGTTCCTGCATTGAGCGTCTGCCCCTTGGTGGTCAGTGCTCATTATAGCGTATGCTCTCTGTGTCTATGAGTCTGTTTCTATTCTTTTCGTTTGTTTTGTTCTTCAGATTCCACATATAAGTGAAAACACATGGTATTTGTTTTTCTCTAAGTCAGTGGTTCTCAACCTTGGCTGCACATTAGAATCACCTCGGCCTCCTGATTTCTGGGCCTCATCCTCTGGAAATTCTGTTTCTTTGTTACTAATGTTGTGGTCTCACCCCATAACAAAGAAACCGAATTTCTGGAGGATGAGGCCCAGAAATCAGGATTTTAAAAAGATTCCCAGGTGATTCTAATGTGCAGCCAAGGTTGAGAACCACTGACTTAAGTGGTTCCTAAAAGTCCTTTTTTGTAATTCATGAGGGAAAGGGGTGAGGAGAGAGGGGTGAGGGGCGAGGGGAGAGGGAAGATGGGAGAGGGAGATTGTCTGCCTCCTGCACATGCCAGGACCAGGGATAGAATCCAAAACCTAGTTATGTACCCTGACAGGGAATCCAGCAACCTTTTGGTGCACAGGGCAATGCTCCACCAACTGAGCAATACCAGCAAGGGCTTTTGGTCGCTCTTAAATTAGAGCTTCCATTTCACATTCAGAAGATTGAACTTTGGAGCTAACATTTATTTCACTTTCCAAGAATTTCTTCTTTAATTTGTTTCCTAAAACATAATTCAAGCCAGAAATGTGAGCCTCAGATACAGCATAAAACTTCTAGAAGCCTCATTAAAGAATAGCAAAAGGAAACAGGAGAAAGTAATTTAAATCAACCAACTATATCCAAAATATTATCCTTCTGAGGAGACAGAGGGAAACTAGGTAGTCAGGAATAGGGACCATGGGGAGGTAAAACTGGGGAATCCAACTAGGTGGAATCGCTAAGGCAACCCAGCTGGGCATGGAAAGAAGGGCATACGAGAGAGACAGACTAAAATGTATGGATTGTTGCTAAAGACAAGCAAGTTGCAGATAACCAATCACAAGGCAATAAGACATATAACCCAATCTCAAGGATGTTGCTAAGACAAAATTCTTTGAAAAGACCAATCAAGAACTAGCAAGGCTGTATCCACCCTTAAATTAAAAAGTACGAGCTCCTCTTCTCCCTCTCCCCAATGTGCTACATTCTTGGGTTGATAGAAGGAGACATGTTCCCTTGTGCCCACATAGCTTATGGCCATGTGGGGCTCTACGCATGGACTAAAAGACTTTAACACCCATCTATAACATGGGAAGGAAGCTCTGGACACTGGCCTGCTCCTGGAACTCCAGCTGCACCTTTTCCAGGACTGGCTTCTTTCAATAAACTTTGCCTTCGTTAATTGGTTTTGTCCTCGACTTCATTCTTTGATTTCACGAGACAACAAACTCGGACTCAAACCCCACATTTTGGTTTCACTTTCAACATTTAATCAATATAAAAATATTCTTTTGTACTAAGTCTTAAAACCCAGTGTACTTTGCGCTTACACATATCAACGGATGTCATATTTTAAGTGCTCAATAACCATATGTGATGAGTGGATACTGTACCAAATGGCACAGCCAATGATATGAAGAAATGTGAGATAGAATTGTTGTCTGCAAGAAACTTACAAAATAAACAGGAGACTAAAAAGAAATTATAAAAAAAAAATTTAAAAAAAGGTTACAAAGTAATATAACTTCTGAGTAGGAAATACAATACATACTATGGATGTAGAGGAGGAAGTGCTCCCTGTGGGATGGAGTCTTGTCAAGAACACGGGCCCTGATCAGGTACAACCTGGAGAGAAGCTTGG